CGTCGAGCAGGTCCGGCCCCAACGCACTCGGGCTCCCAAAACTGGCTGCCCGGGTATCCAGGGGTGCGTAGTGTGTGGCAATGCGAGCTGTTCCGACGATGGGGAACAGAGGGCGAATGAGGGCGCGAATGTATGCCGGTGGAAGGGGCACTCGTGACTCGAGGCTCGCGATCCACTCACGGATTTCCACAGGAACTCACCAGTTCCAGGCAGGCTCCTCATGCGGATACGCAGGAGGCGGTGGCGATCGCCTCCGACCGCTCAGCTTTGTGCAGGGTCCAGAGGAGGGCGCCGAGGATCGTTCATCATGGCTGAGCGAGGACGCGCGTGTGAAGGGGGAGACGCAGACATTGCTGGGACACGCATGGGGTAGAAAGGTGTCTTGTGTGGGTGCTGAAGGTGGCGGAGAGCCTCTGGAGGGCCCTGTGACTGGGGCGCTGGATGGTACAAGAGGTCACCAGCTGGTCCACGAGGACCAACGTCGCAAGCGGGAGGAGGGGGCCCAGAAAGAGTTCGAGTACTCCCGCATGGACGGCCTATCCACATCCATGACATCAGAGGAGCGTGCAACGGCACATAACGTGGTTCGTCGAGGACAACGGAAGGGGGGAGACCACCGCGGAAGGGACCCGGGAAGTTCCTGCTCTGCAGTTGAGGATGGACGGGCAGAAGGAGGTTAGTCAGTCCACTCAGAGCATGAGAAGAAAGGAAGGGTTGCGTGCTGCCTTGCATCATGAGCGGAGGACCTCGAAGGCCAGCGAGTTTGCTAGGTTGCTAGTGCACGTCTTGGGGGCTAGGAGCAGCGGGAGGGTTTGGTCAGTGGCCTGAGTGTTCCTAAGGAGAGCGAGACGCTGGGTGATGGCGGCGTTGGTGGAGTCAAGGGAGGGAGACAGATGTCGAGCGCAGGAGAAGACGGACGAGAGAGGATGGATATCGAAGGCACGTAAGTTAGACGCTTGATGCGCCTGCGCTAGCGCGTCGAGCGTCTAACTTCCGCACTCTGCCACGTCTCCCTCGGTGCAGGCTTCCATCTGGTCTCCGTCTTTTGCTCTACCCAGCACCGCCTTTGGACTCCTTGGCCGCCCGGACAACGCAGGTGTGAGGAAGCTGAGACGGCGGCGGGAAGGGGAGGCAGGGATGAGACACCGGTGGGGCAACCGCAACAGACGGTGAGTAATCCATCCCTCTGCAGCCGCAGGTGGCTCGCAACCTTGGCCTCGGCCGCCTCTCCTGCTTTGCCGTCTACGCCCGCTGTGGTCTCTTCAAGGGCCAGAAAGCACCTGCTTCTTGAGGCCCACGTGACGAAGGAGCGAGAAGAACAAGAACTTGGACGTGTATCGTCCCGACCAAGAAGGCACCTGGCGGAAGATGTCTTCCAACCCTCGGAGGGTTGCAAACTCCCCAAGCCCGCCAAGTTACATACCTCCATCACCACCAGTATGTCCTCATCTTTCTTGCATATGGCTTCCGTAGTCAAATACTTGCAGGCGCATCGAGGGCACCGCTGAACTTGATCGCGCCCTCCAGTCCGGACATGCACCCCAGGCACGATCTGCTCTGCCCGCCCCCTCTCATCCTCCTCCGACTCAGACGTTACTGAGCCCATCTCTTTTCACCCTCAGCAGCGTTTCTCCGGCATGACCCTCCCCGTTGCTGAGCTCTGGCCAACATTATCCTCTGTCTCTTCGACGACCACAAGGACGACTCTAAGCGGATTTCCGCCCGTGCCTTTGGTAAGCAGATCAAGGA